GCCAAATCCACGGCACAGCGTTTATTTGCTGCTATTATTCCGGACATACTTCCGTCATGTGATAACGAGTTGAAAAAAGGAGCAAATAAAAGGGAATGATGTCGCCTTTGCGAGTATCCAAACGTACCACAATTCAAGCTGATCTAAGTTAGTGGCAGAGCGTCAATATTTTCGTGAATATTTCGCCTTCGTCGGAAGATAATATCCGAAGGACCAGTGTGAAACGCATGTGGTGCTCACACTACAAGTATCTCAATCCACATGTTGAGCTTTCGAAATTTCCCATGGTTTTTTTTTTCTTCTTTGATCGTTTGGGAAAGAAAATTGAAATGTTTTGTTCCTGAGTAATTTGGGGATTTTTTATGCCCGGAATAGTTACATTTGGTCAAATGGAAATCATTTCTGTTCCTTGTAAAATGATGATGGATTTCTTTATTCTGCATGAAAGATACGGAATTTGAACATAACTTAGCGTTTTATAAAGGCAAATGCATGGTAGTGTGAGAATACGGTTGTTTTGAAATGTTTTTTTACAAGATTCTTTACATTTGATATGAAAAATCAGACGCAAAAAACGTTTTTGCCTAATGAAGATCCTATTTATATCTGATGCTAGTCCCCAAATGGAAATATTTATACTCATTTTTGAATATACCAATGCATAGTTAATGTCCAGAAGATTATGATTTGTGAAATTCGACTTCAATGTTAGAAATGCGCAATAAGTTTTTTTCAATTTTGTGCATAGGTATTCAATATGTCTGTTGAAAGATAATTAACAATCCAGTTGTGTTCCAAGGAATTTTGTACAGTCTGATAATTCTAATCGCGGATCAAGATGAAGTGGGCGATAGTATTTGTTTGAAAATTGAATGAACGTTGTTTTATCCAAGTTGTTTATCAAATGATTACATCTACACCATGCTTCGAATTCATCAATGACTGTTTTAATCTCGGTTTTAATTTTATTTTCCATTTCGTCTGGACTTGGGGAAGCCACAATGATGGTAGTATATTGGCGTACATAAAAACTCGGCCTTCTGTAATATGTTCTGGAAGATCGTTTACCTATAGTAAAAACAGCAGTGGTCCAAGTACTCCCCCTCGCGGAGTTCCCAAGTCCACATCAAATGGATCTGATATGTGGTCATTTACTCTGTCACTGGCTCAGGGCGAATAAACTTAAAATAAATGCTCAAAAACAAAGTGTATGTATGATATTAGGTAGCAAAATCAACTGTACTAAATTCAATCAAGGGAAGGTTGTGCTAACAATTGATAATTCGGTAATAATGTATGTTAATGAGATGAAGTATTTCGGCAATCTTTTTGACCCTCAACTTAACTTTTCTGCGCATATTGATTTTTTGTGTAAAAAAAATAGGAAAAAAAGTAACTTTTATAGAATCTGTACAAGCCTTTCCACGTGGTGTAGAAAAATTGTTTATAACACTATTATATTTCTACATTTTAATTACTGTATGTCCGTACTCCTTTCTTGTTCTTATACATAAATACATCGATTGCAGCTACTCCAGAATAAAGCAATGCGAATTCTGCTTCTTTGTAGCAAAGACCTTGAAATTCCTCGATATTTCCCAACTGATTGTAGAGTCGTTTTTGGTATTAATTAATTTTCAAAATTGTCAATAAGCAAGCTCCTTCCTTCTTGCAAAAGTACATAATCAAAAGGGCAGATATGATACATTATAATTTGAGGTTCAATGATCAGTTCTATATACAAGGTTTGAACACAAATGCTTTGGAGAAAACTCTCTCCATTGAAGGTTTGAGAATGTATAATGATCTACCTCTGCTAGTTAAGACATCAGGAAATGTAAGAATTTTCAAAACAAGATTGAGAAAAATGTATTTTAATGTATAGATTATATTGTTTATGTGTGATATATATCGAATGTGTTATATTCATGTATGGTTATGTAATAGCTATCGATGCTAAATAAAGCACTATTCTATTCTACTTCTATTTTTCTATTTCTCACATATGACTTGAATTCTTAAAAAGTTTCTCACGTAAATAATCCGGGTTTATAGTTTCGAATGCTCGGATGAGATCAAAGAAGTTCCCCATTACGTGATAATTTTTGTGGGTATTTTCATAGATATATTGAATCATATCGGTTTCAATGGAAAAATTGCTCCTGAAACCGTGTTGGGAAGATGCTATCAATTTATTGTTGTCTCTACCGTTCTGTCATACACTACTTTTTCCTTTATTTTTGATATGGAGTTGAAGACACAGATGCATCCATAGCTTTCCATTTCTGAGGTGTCACCTTTTTATGTACTGGTACGACTTTGGAAAATTTCAGTTGACCAGGGAATATACCGTCATTAATTGATTGATTGATTAGAATGGTCAGGTTTTTTGAAAATACCTGAGCACCTACCTTATTTCAATTTTCTTTTTGGTTCCATCATTTCTGCCCAGTTTATCATTCACTAATGTCCAGAGTGTATTTTGTTTGTTTGTTGATGTGAGTATTTTGTTAGTATGAAATTGTTGTTTTTTTGTAGCCATTTTCTTATTAAGTGTCCTTTTTTATATTTATATTGAGAGTTGAGATAATCATGTTCCTCATTGTTCTTTCAGAGGGTGGTCTAGTGGGTATGGGAAAAATCCCATCATAAAAATTGATCGACTTTTGATGTATGTACAGGGTGGCTGGAATTCGGTCGATTGAATCATAGCTAAGTTGCGCAATTTGATGCTGATCAAAATGCCGCCTCAAAAGTTTGAAAATTCCTAACACTTACTTACTTAACATATTTGAAAAAAAAACATCCGCGATTTCGTTTTTATTTTTTTCTGACTTTATTTGAAGTGATATGTCAAAATGAATATCATAATAGCCTCTCCACTTTTTCTGCTCTATCCAATGACAATAATAGATTCATCATCCGACGTTTCGTCTTCAAGGAGTCATCATCAACTTTGTTTTTTTAAATGGTCGAAAAAAAATTGGTGTTCCTAAAGAATTCTAATTCCAATTCTGAATCAAACGACATATAGGATGTTGCAATCATTCTAGAGGAAACGAAACATCGGAACAAAAATCTGAAGGTGTCTTGTAGAAAATGGAAAATGACTACGAAAATGTCAAATTTATTTTGGTCTATCTCTCGGTCTATCTCTATTTAAGTTTTCAATAAAAAGTTATTCTCCAAGTTTGTAATTCTAAGAAATAATCTTTTTCTGATTTCACTATGAGAGATAGACCAAAATGAATTCGACATTTTTGCAGTCATTTACATTTTTCTACAAGTTGCTATCATCAGATTTTTGATCCACCGTTTCGTTTCCTCGTAACCATCATCAAATAACACTGATAATGCTTTTTTGGTCCGAAACGTAGGATAAATGCAAAGTGTTATATGACGTTGGATTCAGAATGGGAATTAGAGTTTTTTAGGAACAAAAAATTTATTTTCGACCATTTAAAAAAAACAAAGTTGATGATGGCTCCTCGAAGACGAAACGTCTGAACACGAATTTATTTATGCCATTGGATAGAGCAGAAAAAGTGGCAATGCTAACATGAAACTCATTTCGACAAATCACTTCAAATAAAGTCACAAAAAAATAAAAACGAAATCGCGGATATTCGGTTTTTTTCAAATATCTTCGGAAGTATTCGGAGTTTACAAACTTTTAAGGCGGCATTTTGATCAGCATAAAATTGCGCAACTTTGCCAACATTTAACCGACCCTGTATCTCTTATGGTTTACGAAATCCCAATGATGAGCCTCGAATTCCAGCCACCCTGTACAGGGTGGCCAACTAAGACTCCAGAGTTCGATTTCTCTGTTGTCTTGAGAGATACGAAAACAAGTCATAAATCAAAATTGAAGTAATAATCGAGCTTCACATTTCAAAATTTTTTTGAAATACACAGAGTGTTCCGTAAGGTCACAGCACATCAAAGCTATGTTTTTTCATTGGAACACCCTATATTTTATTTCATTTCTGAATTCTCCCTGAAGATCTGATTTCAACGACCCATCATACTCAGGGTCTAGCAGTGAAAGTTACTGACATATAGGGTGTGCAAAATCGAGATTTTCCAAGTTCAGAATTTTTTTTTGTCGAACCTGTTCATTTTTCGTCAAAACGGTTCACATGTCCCTATCTCAACTTTTCACTCACTATCAATTGGTGTTCAATTGAAATTGATACAAGGTGGTCAAAAAATCTAAATTTATAATTTGTTTCAATTAAATGTCAGTTGAAAACCAATTGATAGTGAGTGAAAAGTTGAGATAGGGACATGTAAACCGTTTTGACGAATAATGAACAGTTTCGACAGAAAAAAATTCTGAACTCGGAAAATCTCGATTTTGCACACTCCATATGTCAGTAACTTTCACTGCTAGACCCTAAGTATGATAGGTCGTTGAAATCAGATCTTCAGGGAGAATTCAAAAATGAAATAAAATATAGGGTGTTCCGATGAAAAAAACATAGCTTTGATGTGCTGTGACCTTACGGAACACCCTGTGTATTTCAAAGAAATTTTGAAATGTGAAGCTCGGTTATTACTGCAATTTTGATCCATGAATTTTTCTTGTATCTCTCAAGACAACAGAGAAATCGAACTCTGGAGTCTTAGTTGGCCACCCTGTACATTCCATGTCATTTTCCAAATTCTCATAATTGATTATCAACTCCAAAAATATTTGAGTCAAAAGTGTTTGTTTGTAGTCAATGCACTTTACTAATTTTTTCTTCCCAAATATAATTCAATCCGCTTTGTGACGTCATTAATCGGATTTGATCCGCTTGCTCTAAGCATCGCCAAGTACACAAATGAACAGACCTCATATTTCTGTATTCTTGAATATTGTGAACATCATTTTCATTTGATTGACACAAAAAAAGAATGCTCAACTGACATTTAGAAAATTATGTCATAATGACATATTCATTAAGTCATATTTTCTTGACAATGAAGACAATTGAATATTTTTCTTATTTCAGCTCACCAATGTTGGAATCAATGCTGCGAACATCACATTTGCGACGCTCACTATGGAGAGTGATAAATTCATTTGTGTCAGAGAAAAAGTTGGAGAAACTTCTCAAGTGGTCATCATTGACATGGCAGATTCAAGCAATCCCATTCGAAGGCCCATCACAGCTGAGAGTGCTATTATGAATCCTGCATCTAAAGTTATTGCTCTGAAAGGTAACTATTGTTCACTGATATTAGTAAAAAAATGTGGCTTTATATGGAATAATCTAATTGTAATCACCAAATGGGTTGATTGTCAGTGATATGCACTGATCACAAGTAGTCAACCTATCTTGCCTCCTAATATTTTTTCCGAATCATCATCACTGGTGAGCAGAGTTTACCACTGACGATGATTTCATTTGGCCATTGAGTGTCTTCGGTAGCTTTCACGATCTTGCTAATTTCATAATTGCACCTCTATAATGAGGTGGTTTCCCAAACAAATCATCATAAAAATATTATTGAACTCCCTAGTATTATGATTCTGCTGTCTAGAATGGCTATGGAAATTGTTCCAATAATTTCAATTTTCAAAATACAGCAATTTACTATTATTAATGGAGCAGAATATGAAGAGTATGATGTACTATGTAGTATATCGAAGACTGGAACCTTTGGCACGATAATACACTACACTTTTTTACCACTAACCAAACCGATTTTTTAAACGCCTCCACACGTGTTTTGCTAATTATCTTAGCATCTTCAGGAGAAGATTAAAACTACTACTGAGGTCTAGTGACTCAATGAGAAGTTTCTTGTCTTATTTCCTTCAGGCCTACGTTTCTAAAAATGAGAATAAGAAGGAAGCTGTCGGTATGGTCTTACTTCACAAAAATATTTGACTTAATTTTTATTATTATTATGATTTACTTGGCAGTCTTTCAGACAGTGAAGAGTAGATTAATCTCGAGATTAATCAGATCACAATCCAAGAACAAAATCAATTTGAAGAAATGTCAATAAGAATGTATACAAAATACATAAATAACTCAGAAATAATTTTGGTATGACCTGTTTTAATTTCAGTTTGGTGTATCAGGTTTTCAACCCTTGTTGCATCAATTTCTTGGAGATATTAAACTATCTCCAACATTTCAACATAATTTCATGACTGTCAATTATTATGCTATTCCAATATTTATGCTTCGTCTATAATTCCCATTTCATCAGGTATTCAGATGATTTTTTTTACCACTAGCTATAAAACCTACTATAATTTACTTATTTTTGAGGCGTAAAGTGTGTTTTTACTACCAAGGAAGTTTTCGTCATTTTATGAACCACTAGTCAATCAAGACATAGCCACCTTTGACATATAATTAACCAGAATTCACTGTTCTGATGTGATATTCCTAGGGATATGGTGAATCTGGTAGGTATTTATCAATAATGCCTTGTCATATGCTGTCATGGTCATGGCTACTAGATTTGAATTGGAATTGAAAAAAAAATGCTTTTCCATCGCCCTCGTATTAACGACTAAGTTTAATGTATATGAAATCGTTCATTAATGACCCCTATTAATGAACGATTTGTCTATTAATGCACGATTGTTTTATGGGCAACCAAACATACACCGCGTACATTCATTGTTTATGCTATAACTTACGGAATCTGCATTTAAATCGAAAATATGGATCTCATCGAAGATTTTCCGTTAACGGGTTCACCTTTCCAAGTTTCTAACACGATTTTAATCCCTGTTTTCTAACACAAGGAATTTATTTTCTATGTTGATCATTTTGACAAATGTCAAATGTCAATAATGTCAGTAACAAGGCTACTGGGCGATTCTTAGCAGTTTCTGGATGAATGATGAATTCGCGAACCAAGTTTTCTTCATTGCAGGAGAAATGAGAAATATAGTCGACGGAAAAATTTTGTAACCAACCTGTATATCAAAAGGCGATTAATACACTAGTTGGTTAAATAACTATTCATTGTGATTATTGTGACAATAGGTTCATATTTCAGTTTCACAGTACTAAAATGATCCAAATGTATTTGCTAGTCGTGAAAAAATGTAACATACACCTTGGTGTATAAATAACTATTACCTACTACCAATATGTAATGTGAAACATTACGACACTGATTTTATTTTCCTGATGAAATACTTTACAGCACTAGTGCGGTGGAGTAAAAGAAAAAAATTTAGTTTTTTACAAGAAAAATGAAATAGGAACTAATTGATCATAAATAAAGCAGGTTCTAAAGTTTGAACTGTTTCATTTGTCGCAATTTCTATTTCTGAATCTATACTCACGTGATCGGAATCCATATTGTAGATAAATTATCTTCTCAAATTGAAATGAACCCGTCAAAGTTGGCAGTTTACAGAATGAGTGGCAACCGAGAACAACGTTTGCTTCTTACATATTCCTAATAAATGGTTCATTCAAGGAATAATACTTATTTTTGTTTAGATAATTAGCGTTTGTGGTAGTAGGTGAAATATTGTACTATATTCGTATCGTAAATTCATATAACGATAATCGAAGGGTTATCAAAAGCGGCCTTCGGCCTCGTTTGGCAAATTTCTCATCTCATATTGTTGTATGAGTCTTTAGAATACTTGAATCGTAAATGTCTATTAACATACTATAAATTGTTTGAACATGTCATTTTAGGTACCATTACTAAACTATGATGTTAGAGCAAAATTTTCAGAATCAGATCTATCGGTAAATTTTGTTACACTGCTCTGGCGTAAAACGGCTCACATTTTTAGCTGTGCCTATAGAGCATTTCTAAGTAGAGCGCCATGAAAATGGTGGAGGAGCCGAAACTACAGGGTGAGTTATGACTAACCAGCCATAGCCTAATGGTGGATAGAGGAAGTCAAGGTGAGGTGATATACAGGGTGGGCCACCAGTAACGCCTCGGTCTCTAGGAGGCTAACCACTTATCTTCTTGGGATTCTTCCTCTCTAGGAAGTTGCATGTCAACATAGGCTACCATTTAAAATTATTTCGAAACATATAGGGTGTCCTCAAAAACCATAAAACACTGAAGTTGAACTTTTTTCTATCGAACACCCTATATATTATTTCATTTTGAGATTTCCCTGGTGAGCTGATTTCAACAATCCATCATACTTGGGGACTGAGATATAGGGTGTGAGAAATCGAGATTTTCCAAGTTCAAGAATTTTTTGTGTCTAAACCATTCATAATTGGTCAAAACGGCTCACATGTCCCTATCTCAACTTTTGATCAACTATCTACTGACATTTAATTGAAACAAATACAGGGTGGTGCAGAATTCAGAATCTTGATCACCCGGTATATGTCCCAATTAAATATCAGTAGACAGTTAATCAAAAGTTGAGATAGGGACATGAAAGCCGTTTTGACCAATTATGAATAGTTTCGACACAAAAAATTCTTGAACTTGGAAAATCTCGATTTTTCACACCCTATATTTCAGTAATTATAACTGCTAGTCCCCAAGTATGATGGGTCGTTGAAATCAGCTCATCAGGGAGAATCCCAAAATGAAATAATATATAGGGTGTTCGATAGAAAAAAGTTTAACTTCAGTGTTTTATGGTTTTTGGGGACACCCTGTATGTTTCGAAATAATTTTAAATGGTAGCCTATGTTGACATGCAACTTCCTAGAGAGGAAGAATTCCAAGAAGATAAGTGGTTAGCTTTCTAGAGACCGAGGCGTTACTGGTGGCCCACCCTGTATACGTGAAAAAATATATTTTGCCTATTCATAACAGAAATACTTATTTGAATTATCATTATTATAATATTATTTGAATTCCAGGCGAAACTTCGATATTTCAGCAACGTCTCCATGTTATCACCTGAAATTTACCAGCAACTTACCTCTACTGACACTCCATAAGATGGCTTACTATGGTAAAAAATTAATAGCCGGACTTGGGAAATTGTTTTTCTCTATAAATGTCATATTGTTTTTCTCTATAAATGTCATATTGTTTTTCTCTATAAATGTCATAATTTTGACTTCTGAATCGTTTTTTTTTGAAAATTCCTATCAGAATCAGATAGTAAAAGAAACACTACAAGTGTAGCTTTCCATTTTGTACGGCACACTTCGACCAAATTGTTTAAAAATTTGGAACAACATACTGATGAACGTTTCCATGATTTTGTACGGGCATATTGTAGTAACATCATTCAACAAATTCATTTAAATTCCTTTCCTTCACCGGTGTATTATGAGTTGGAAAGATGCTCTATTTGATAAAACATTCCAGGACCGGACTTGCTTTACTGGAAGATACCTATCAAATATAAACACAAATAATTTACAATTGAAATCTGCTTCTACATGTGAAAATATGGAAAGATTGTACTCAACATGAAGAATAATAAGTATTGCTTAGGTGAAAGATTTTTATCCGAATCAGATATACAGGGTGTTTCACAGGTAAAGGGAAATATTTCAATGGTAGATAGGGGTCACCAAGGTGGTTCTGAAAATACAATATTTGATAGGGCTTAGAGTTTTCATAACGGAGATACAGGGCGATTTATCGATTTCGAATAATTATTCATTCGTCTATAGGTATTGAACTACCCAGTATATTTTTCTAAAATTTGGTATGGAGCTCAAACTTGGGACGTTGAATGCATTCATCTATTGGGCGAAGTGAAAATCCAGGTTCGGCTTCAGGAAGGAAGTTCATTAAAGGAATCGTGAAGAGGAGGAAAAACTGAACTGGATTTGATGCTTTTTGTTTTCCTGCCACCAATTCTCATCGTAACAATCATAAACAGGAAGCTAAAAGTATGTCAATTTCAAGAGTATTAAAATTATGAAACCACTTTTAATTATGATTATTTGATATATTCTTGTTGAATGATCGTTCGAAAGAACTTACTTAGTCTCACAGTCTTTATAACAGAAATACAGGGTACTCGTCCATAAGTATTAACCTACCCATCGCAGTAATATTTTCTCAAATTTGGTATTAAGCTTATTTGGGACGATGGATTCATTGACCCATCAGGCAGAATGGAAATACAGGTTCAGCTTCAGGAAAAGTCTCATAGTCTTTATAACAGAGATACAGGGTGAATTATCGAATTATAATTCCGCCTGATAGGTTAATGAATCCATCGTCCCAAGTAAGCTACATACTATATTTGAGAAAATGTTACTGGGTAGTTTTATACTTATGGACGAGTG